CAAATAATTGAGTAGGTGTTTCTAGTAAAGGGTGCTGGTAATGCTACCATATACAAAGACATTTAGACAATTGGCTCTTCTAACCTTGTGGTAAAAGTTTGCAGAAGGCCCTTTTCTGTCCTGGAATGACTGCACCACAAAGCCAACTCCATAAAGACATGGCTGAATGAGTTTGTTGGAGGAACCTGAGTGACCTTCACAGAGCCCTGACCTCAATCCTCCTGAACACCTTTTGGATAAATTAGAATGCCAATGGTAATCCAGATCTTCTCATACAACATCAGTACCTGACCTCACAAATTGCCTAAGGCAGAGTCCAAAATCTTGTAGAAGGCCTTCCCAAAAGAGTGGAGGCTGGCATAGTGGAAAGAGGGGCAGCTCCATATTAATGCCCATGTAATGGGATGTCATAGAAGCTCACATAGTTGTGATGGACGGGTGTCCACAAACATTTGGCTATATGATGTATAGTATTCATCATATAGCCAAATGTTTGTGGACACCCGTTAATTGTATACTTTATATTAAACATACACACATCGGGGAGTTATTCTATATGGAGCCTATGCTTAGTAAGCATAGGCTCCATACCCAATGAATGTGCTTGCTTTTAAAGCAACCCTGCTATCTTTTATAGATGACCAAAATAGATTCTCTATGAGCTAAGGATTTTTCTCTCAGCGGTTGTTCATCATGAATGCTGTCTGTACTGCCTGACATATGTCAGCCAATACAGAGGGAATTTTCAAAACTGAAATGGAATCATGAAACACTGGTATAGCAAGCAAAAGAAAACGGCCAAGGTATGTCCAAAAGAACTTTCAGGAAAACTCCACATTGATAAACTAAAGTGTGTAATTACAGTGCTTTGTAGCACTGTGTTTCCACTCGTCAGCCTCGGAAGGATTGCAGAAGGCTAACAATATGTTTCTTGTGCCCTTGTGGTTGGGACGGCAGCTCTCTGAAAATCGCTGGAAAGCCACTGATGACTTGTATGACTGACTGCGCTGGACACACTGCATTGTGTCAGTACACAGAATCGGAATTCACATTTTCAGAAGAGCTGTGACACTATCGCTTACATCTCAATGGAGAAAGTATTTGCCAAGCTGTATAGGAGCTTGAATGAGGCTTAACCCCTCTCTGCATTGTATGCACACAGACCAGAGTCTGGGCAATCCTTCTTCCCAAAGGGCTTTCTAGTCCTGTGTCACAGCGTATACTGTATGTGTATGAGAGAGAGATAGAGAGAGAGAGAGAGAGAAAGAGAGAAAGAGAGAGAGAGAGAAAGAGAGATAAAAGTTGGATAGATAGATAGATAAATAAGAGATAGATAGACCGACAGACAGACAGATAGATAGATAGATAGATAGATAGATAGATAGATAGATAGATAGATAGATAGATAGATAGATAGATAGATAGTAGATAAGAGATGGATAGATAGATGGATAGTAGATAAGAGATGGATAGATAGATAGATAGATAGATAGATAGATAGATAGATAGATGAGAAATAGACAGACAGACAGACATACAGACATACAGACAGACAGACAGACAGATAGATAGATAGATAGATAGATAGTAGATAAAATATGGATAGATAGATAGATAGATAGATAGATAGATAGATAGTAGATAAGAGATGGATAGATAGATAGATAGATAGATAGATAGATAGATAGATAGATAGATGAGAGATAGATAGATAAGAGATGGAAAGGTAGATATATAAATAGATAGATAGATAGATAGATAGATAGATAGATAGATAAGAGATGGATAGATAGATAGATAATAGATAGACAGATAAATAGATAGATAGCCAGACAGAGAAAGAGAGATAGATAGATACATTGGATATAAGACAAGCTAAAAAAACAACAACTTTCACTAAATAATCACACTCTTTAAACCAAAGATTACATTTAACAAATATGAGTGAATGTTCGGTGAGAACATTGATAAAGAGAACACTAAGTCTCTCTCTTTATATAGTAAATGAAGTTAAATAATCATCCAATAATGTAATTTATGTTATAATATGTAGTATATGTAATAATAATAATATTACTCCTATGGAGTCACTCTTGTGTCTGTTAGTAAGCTGTGTGTGTGTCTCCATGAACACATAGACACAGCAAGGCAAGACACTTCTCTACTTCAAGCTAGTAGATGGACGGCTATTGAAGACTGCTCTGTCCCTTGTGATCTTGTGCAGGACAGGAAGTTCAGGGAAGCCGAGCTGATGGGGGTTGGAGCTGTTCAGAAACATGATGACTGTAAGTGTTTGGGCATACATGTATAGAATACTTTGCTGGGAAATGTATATTTGTTTGATCTGGATTCAAGTTTGAGAGTTTAATAATGTTTTAATGATTTAATGAAACACTTGCCGGTGTCTGGTCTGTATAAGGCCTTAGTGGTATAAGTCCAGACATCAACAACATAAAAAAGTTTCTTGTATCACAAATTGTTGTGATACAAATAAAAATATCTCTATCCATCTATGTTTCTTTCTGTTTGTCTCTCTCTCATCTCTCTCTCTCTCTCTCTCTCTCTCTATATCTATCTATCTATCTATCTATCTATCTATCTATCTATCTATCTATCTATCTATCTATCTATCTATCTATCTATCTATCTATACATCTATCTATCTATCTATCTATCTATCTATCTATCTATCTATCTATC